CTGATGACTGTTTTATTATGAAATATTATTAAATGTTTGAGCAAAAGATATTTGGTGTTTTGATTGTATTAAAAATGAAACTTTTACTTTACAATTTTTGGGTTGTTACACATATACTTAGCAACTACAACGATATTGTTGATTTCATATAGCATAAATAAGAAATCCCCTAAGGCTATTAGACATTACAAATCAGACATTTCTATCATGTAATTACTGAAGATCCCTAGCCTATAAACTATCATGTAGTTCTAAGACTTTAACATATCACCAATATACATATAACAAGTGTGGGTATCTTGGAGAATAACTTTCTCGTGAGCTTCGATTGACTGTACACATCGATCCCCCCTCCCCCTTTTAAATTTTATTTTTAGAAAAGTGTTGTGAAAAATCTTTTGCAAATCCATAGTTTGAGTCCGGAATCACACAAATGTTCATCCATATCCCTCAAACTAGGGATCTTATACCATATTGTAACATCCCAAAACCATAGTAAAATTTTTAATTTTCAAAAGACATTTTCATAAAAACCATAAGTCATCAAATTAATTGTTTTAAAACGTAATCATAAATTCAGAGTATCAAATAACATTTCTAAAAAATAAATCCACAGGATGATGTGTAAAATCACGGCTTTGCCTTCCCCCGATACTCAAAAGTGCTAGATCATTTAAATCCACCACTGTAAGCCAAAGCTTAGTGAGTTCCCCAAAATACCCCACGCAACAATACATATAGAATGCATGTACACATGAGTCTACAGTCGAACTGGACCGCCTCGTAAGTCCTATTGTACACTTAGACCGCTCTCCTGACCCTACAACATATAGTAGGACCGCTCTCTTAAGCCTACAACATGGGATTGGATCGCTCTCCTTGGGCCTACAAGATCAACTGGACCGCACGGGTATCTTGGCCTACAACACAAATCAGGACCACCTCAACCCAACCATAATATGTCGACATACGCAAACAAATAAACAATAAATAGAAATATAAGTATATCAATCTAACTGATCATTACAACAAATCAGCATCCTACAAATAAGGATACATACTACAGTACAAAGTATATTGAAAAAACTCACCTTGTAAGCTATTAGACAACAACATAGCTCTCACGAAGAAAAGACGGGTGATATAAGCCACGTATACAACAATCAGAGGTATATCCTCAATCTACCGTCTAAAAACCCTCAGGTTGACTAAAAGTCGACTTGGTTAAAAACTCAACTGTTAACGATCAAAGTTAATAGTCAAAACCAACTCTGTTGGCAACTACGCTGTGAAACATGAAACCACAAAGGGACCTCAAGGATCCATAAATTTACCAACTTTATGTAATCCATCCACCCAAACCACTTTAAACATGAAGAAAAGTGCTTAAAATCTTAGATCTAGAAGGATGACACATAAAGGTAGAAACTTGAGGAGTTACAAAAGTCCAAAATGTATGCAAGAAAGAGATAAAGAGATTTGCTTGTTGGATCTAAGCACCAAGGAACCTTCTTCTTCTTCAAGACCACCAACAACCAACAAAAAGCTTCAAGAGGTCCACAATGGAGGCTAGGGTTGCTTTAGGTCGAAAAGGAGGCGATGGAGGATGATGATGAGCAAACCCTACCCATCACATCCCTTAAATAGGGCTTAAGACCTGAAAAACTAGGGTTTGCATGTTGACCGCCTCCATGTCGTGGCATGGACCTTGCTACGTCGTGGCGTCCAAAAGACGTGCGTTCCTTTCTCAGCCAGCACCACATCGTGGTGTTTCCTCCACCATGTCGTGGCCACCCTAATATCCACATATGAAGTCTTTAACTGCCATAAACATCAAAAGAAATATTTACCTAGAACTTGTGTTACACCCTAACAGGAGACTCCCACTTTGTATGGGTTTGTGTTTCCTTGTTTATCTATCATATATGTTAGCATAGAACTTTAGGTCTTCTGTTATATATCAATACCCCATTGTGCAAGAGGTTATCGATCAAGAGTGTGTACATAATCAGAGTCTATTCTTTGGTTACCTCTTGGTTATTGAAACCTATCAATCATAATATTTTGGTTTCATTATTCCTGCTTGTTCTTGTTTTTTTTCAATATACTTTACGTGTTGAATCTGTTGGTTAGGGACCAACATCAGTCTGATACTAACAAGTATCAGGGACTGACTTTCAGTCTTGGATTCATCAAAAAAATGAGTATCTAGGACTAGCTATCAGGGACTGATTTTGATGCCCATCAAAGACTAATTATCATTCAACACAGACTGATTTTTCAGTCTTTGATATTCGTTTTTCTTATAGTGGCTTCCTTAAAGATGAAGCCAAGAAAAGAGAAAATACGATGCAATCTAAACAAGATTCAAAGGATGCTAGTGTTGAAAGGAAACTACACCCAAAACCCAAAAATGAAGACACTAAGCCATAAACCTAAATAAAACTATTCATCGAAAAAGGGTTCAAATGTGTATATATATTATAGATATATTATAACTGTAAGTGATACTTGTCAACACATTACGTGTTCTTTGGAATATGACATTTTTCTAGAAGGAAATTAATCATCGGAAATAAACTATTGATATGCCCGTCACATTGTGAACTCTCAACGCTAGTATATTTTTTTAACAAAATAAAATTTGTCATGTGTGCGTAAATGATATTACTCGATATATTGTGTGGATGGGGGTGTACACACACGCCACAACATGTGCCTGCGGGTGTGAAATATCGTACCCAACCCAAACAAAGTAAAATATCTCAATTAAAATTACATTTATCTAAACATCTGTATTTTGTCTCAAGTATTTAATATTTGCACTAATATTTTGCTTTGAATGCTTATATATGTTCGAATAGTTTTCCGCTATCATGTAATTGGAACTTTTTTTTATGTACTATAGAATTCTGTTTTGATCTAATTCTATGAATATGAATATATAATAATTAAAAATCGATATCTCTATCGAAACATGGGTACAAATTTTAAGTATGAATTGGGCCCATTTCGTATCCGATGGCAATAGGGTGTAATCTTCTTTTGGGTACTAATCCGAAAGGCCATGTTATCAAAGACGACCTTCCATGTGACATTTAACCGCAAGAATCTACAAAATATAAAGTACTCATAAATCATAATGTGCTCCATATCCACACTTTTCAGTTTTCACGACCGCACACGTGGTTCCCATTTTCTTTAATAGACAGTTGAACAGGTTTTTTTTTTCTTCACAAACTCTTAATATGATATTATAAAAGATTTATATATGTTTATGTAAAATATGAATTTGGTTTATTGAAGAATGTTATTAGTTTGTATTATGCAAAGTTTTTATGATTAATATTTGGTTAATGGCCGAAATAAATTGTATTCCTTTTTTGGAACTTTCAAAAGATGGTCATTCATTTTGAAAAAAAGATTTTATATGGTTTTTGTTTTGCTTTACAAAAAGAAGTCAATGGCATTGTCCTCATTTATAATTTTTATTTTTTCATTTTTACTACTCACTATTCAGGGGTGCTGGGTGTTACTAAATAGACACTTCATTTATCTTTCATGAAAAGTCATTATTAACTAAGGGAAAATGAGACAATCAATAACCTAAAATTTGCTGTTTAGGTCATTAAACTTTTAATTATATCAAATTAGAAAACAAACTTTTTATTTTGGTTTAAAATGCCACCGATTATGATTTTTATCGATTAAAATGACAACGAACACTGTTATTGCTCTTGCCACGTCAAACTAATAGCCTATTATAATTATTTTTTTCAAACCATAAATTTAACTACATAGTTTTTTACCGATTAAAATGGCAAGGTGACAAAACAATGTGGTGTAGCTAATGGTTATCAGTTGTGGTTTAAGAAAAATGATTACAAGAGACTTTTAGTTAGATATGACAAGGGCAATGACGGTGTTCGTTGTCATTTGGATCAATAAAAATCGTAATCATTGGTATTTTAAAACCAAAATAAAAAGTTGATTTCTTTAGTAGTACAATTAAAAGTTTAGTGACCTAAAGAACAAGTTGTGTGTTATTGGTTGTCATTTTAAATCATATTTGCTATTAACTATTTATAACTAGTTTTTTTTTCGATTTGTACACATTTGGTCACTGATACATGTATTTATAAAAAGCGTATGGATATAAAACATATGGATATAAAGATTGTGAAAACGTATTCACAAAAAACTTTGATACATGTATTCATAAAAAAACGTATGGATACAAAGATCGTAACTAAAAATATATTACTTTTTAACCAGAGTAATCTAAACGAATGTTGTAGTAGAATAAAACACAAACACATGGATATAAAGATTGTTAAAAGTCGAAATCATATAAAAAACTTAAGATCTCAGAACACAAAACCTAAGTCAAACCATAAGACTTAAACAACCAAGTAGTCGAGGCTGCGATGAACATAAACATCAACAGCCCCAAACACTTCATTGATAATTGTCTCACGTAAGATGTTATGAGAAAAAAAAACTAAAGAAATCAGTCATAAATACTAATGTGTACAAAAATAAAAATAACTTATTTTGCAATAATAATAATAATAAAATTAAGGACTAAATGTGTAAAAAAATATTAAGAAAATGTGTACAAAATGATAAATATATTATCTTATTAAATCATTTTAATCGTGAGTAACCGGTTGTAAAAACTGAATATATACAGTTTAACAAGTTGAAAGATAAAGAAAAAAAATAATTTTAAATAACTTCAAATTTTGAGAGTGTAGATTAGGTCGGTCCAGCTAAGAATGGTGTTACTGGTCACGTGGTATTCCCACCCCACGACAATAATGACCAATCAACTGTCCCATAGTCCCTTAATCGTAATTTACCATAATTCCAAGGGCATATTTGTTCTCAACTTATATATAGCTCCCCCACACTCAAAAAAAACAAATGCACCCCTCTTAAACTCACCCTAGTACCGGACTACATTAAAGCATTGGGAGGTAAAACTAAAGAGGGAGGAAATGAAATTTACCGGTGTATATCTGGTGGTGGTAGTATTAGTCGCAGCCTTTAGCTCCACCGTCGTCAACTCATGCCCGCCGTCGGACCGGGAAGCATTGTTGGCGTTCAAATCGGCCTTGAATGAACCTTATTTGGGCATCTTTAAGACCTGGACCGGCACAGACTGCTGCAGTAACTGGTATGGTATCAGCTGCGACCCGACTGACAGTCGGGTCAATGACGTTGTACTACGTGGCGAGTCGGAAGATAAGATTTTCGAGAAGGCCGGCCGGTCTGGGTACATGACCGGTTCACTCTCTCCTTCTCTATGTTCGCTGGACCGGCTTACGACGCTTGTTGTCGCCGACTGGAAGGGGATTTCTGGTGAGATACCGGCGTGTATAACTTCTCTCCCTCACCTCCGCATCCTAGACCTCATCGGGAACCAGCTCACCGGAAAACTCCCTGCCGACATCGGAAAGTTAGGGAAATTAACTGTTCTGAACGTCGCTGACAACAAAATCAGCGGTGAGATCCCGTCGTCCATTGTGAACCTCGCGAGGCTAATGCACCTAGATCTGAGCAACAATCAGATCACCGGCGTACTCCCTGTGGATCTCGGAAAGCTATCGATGATGAGCAGAGCTCTTTTAAACCGCAACCAAATTTCAGGTAGCATTCCAAGCTCAATCGCCGGCATTTACCGTCTCGCAGACTTAGATCTGTCAATGAACAGGATCTCCGGTTCAATTCCTGCTCAACTCGGTTCAATGCCTGTCCTCTCGACACTCAACTTAGACAGCAACCAACTCACCGGACAAATTCCGGTAAGTCTACTAAGCAACACTGGTCTAAACATTGTGAATCTCAGCCGAAACTCTCTCGACGGCTACTTGCCGGACGTTTTCACTCCACGGACGTACTTCTCCGTGCTGGACTTGTCATTCAACAAATTGAAAGGCGCGATACCGAAATCTCTGTCGTCGGCAAAGTACATCGGCCATTTGGACCTCAGCAACAACCACCTCTGTGGTTCGATTCCGATGGGATTCCCATTTGATCACCTTGAAGCGTCATCGTTTACCAACAATGACTGCCTATGTGGATCGCCGCTCATGCGTGTATGCTAGTACCACGACGTCGTATTGTGTTCCCTGTTCATTATTTACCGTTACTTGACGGTGCACTATGTGTGTGTGTTTTTTTTTTCTCTTTAAAAAAATAAAAATTATAAAATTTTAATCCAATGTCAGGATCAGGATATGTTAATATTCGTCAGGATGCACGTGAAGATGTGCCACGTAAGATTGTGTATATCTAAGGACTGTTTTGGTAATTCGCCCTTGGTGGAATTGATCTACTTAAACTTTTATTTGTACGCATGTTGTGCATTTGGTTGTTTCTTGATAATGAGCATCTCATGATAGGGCCATAAAGGAGGCAAGTATCAATTCACTGTTTAACGAAAAAAGTAATCTTTAACAGATTAAAAAACTATATGAAACATAGATATAATTGTAGTTATTTTTAGGAAATATACAAAAAAGTGTTAAAAAAATTTCAGGTTTACTGGTTAAAAAGGAAATTCTATTATGATAACTAAATAATTAAGAACGATCAACTAGCAAAGAGCTAGAATGAACAAACAATTACAAGGAAATATTGAACATTAGGTTTTTGCACAATGTCAAAATAATGCTAACTTTATTTTTCCTATTGGAAAACCGATCAACATAAGTAATCATTATGTTCTTAAAAATACTACTTTTTGATACTATGAGATCGGAAAGTCACACCACACTATTTATCTACCTCCAAAGCATCCATGACCGAAGTCATGACAATCACATCTAAATCCTATATCTTCATCTGAGTCATTCTCACCGAATTCACCCATAATATAAGCTCAGACACATTAATGACTGACGGAAAGAGGAGATCCAACCACTTCACAATCTTCAACCAAATCTGATCTGCCGCCTCACAACCCAAGAACACATGTCTGATATCTTTCGAATACAGATCATACGAAGGAAAAAGAACCGTATGAACATCAACACCTCTATCTACCATATTCTCCGTAATAGGATGCCTATTCAACAAAATCCACCAAAGTAAGACATTAGTCTTTATCGAAACTAAATTACACCATCTAGTACCACTAGCATCATCAATATAACTTCTAGCGCTCCTAACTGTGAACATCTCATCTTCATTTCAACGCACACTCCCATCTATCAACGTTAGTGATGAATACTATATAAGGTATGCTAGATCGTGAAAACAATTTCTAGTACTGTAACACCATATTTCGAAATAATAGTATAAACATTATGTAATATACTAAATGGTTTAGTATGTGTGCAATGCATGGAAAGTAAGTAATAACTAATTATGTCAAAGAAGGGTATTACAGACATTTAATTACAAATATCATGGATCTAAAAAGTGCGCCATGGCGCGCCTCAAGGCGTGCCATGGCGCGAGACGTGGTGTAGCCGTTACGAAAACGTTCAAGGCGGGTTTGTTAAGCGTGACGTCCAAATAACGCGTCAAGGCGCGCCTTATCGCGTTATGACGCAAGTTTTTTTCAAGGCGCGAGTTTTTTTTTGTTTTTTTTTTATCGCGCCTAAAATAATTGAGTTTTTGTTAACTTTTAATATTAAATACTAATATAACACATCTATAAACTTGATATACTTGATAAAACTCAATAATTATATGATTTATCTCTTTTAATATATATAAAATAGTCACGCCTTGAAAAACGTCATGGCTCGCCAAAGCTTGTCATGGCTTAACTTTGACCTTGCCGCCAAGCCACACCTCACGTTATTTAGAACATTGCTTAATATAGTGATAAAAAAAGTAGAGGAATATATGAAAAAATAGAAGGTATGTTGGATGGTTAAAGAGGGGCAAATATAACATCCAGAATACCAATTTTTGTTTTTTTTCAAAATCAGAGTATGTCATTTCCAAAAACAGGGTTTTCATCCATAACAACATAAACCATAGAATCACAAAAGCATCATCAAATGCGGAAGCTAAGTTCTTGTTTTGGAACCAAAACACAAAAGATAAACATAAATGGATGACATCCCCCCTCCCCCAATAATGTCCAGATAACCCAATCAAACCAGCTTCTTGCCCTTCGTAAATATTATAGTATGATTATTTTCTTGATTTTCATACTTGTGCAGAAGTGTTAGTGAGTGTCTGGAATTAAGTTCAACTGTTAGGATCAAGTGCAATTCTATAAAGAATAGATTTTTAAGCGTTGCATTAAATAAGTGTGGGGTCACTAACACACATAAGAAAGGAGTTCAATAGTATGATTAGTAAAAACTACAAGAGGAAGAAGCATGCACGAGAGATGGGATGTGTGTTTGGCTGACATGACTCGAGTCAATTTTAGTTCGTGACGAAACAACACAGATTAATATCGCAACACAAAATATGCATATCCGTGCCACGATTATTCATCATAAACACGAACAATCTTCCCAATAACTGTGAAAATTCTTATTCCAAGTTAGCGATAAGTGATATGATGTAACTGCCACTTGACGTATGCACTTTGGAGTCCTAATAAGAGAATAAAGACATGCATTCCAAATTTTCAGTCTTACAAGATCAACCAAGCACCAACAATTTTGAAGATGCCCACTTGAGCTGGATTCAACCACTATCTCGGGGGAGTCTGTTTGTTTCTCTTCCTTTTTTGATGTTAGGTCTCGCAGTTTGTAATATTGTGTTTGAGTGTGTATGTAAAAGTCTCTCAATATCTTATGTCTTCACTTTATGCGAAATTTTTAGTTTGATTTTGTAGTTTGTCTGCTTAGGCTTCACAACTTTGGCTAGTTATTTATGACAACTGTATTAGCTTAGGTGTCGTGACATCATTCGTTATGTCCTAACTGATTCCCTTGTATTGTCCTCTCTCTCTCTCTCTCTCTCTATATATATATATATATATATATATATATATATATATATATATATATATATATATATATATATAAAAGGGTAGTTAGTTATATAATTGAACGCAACTTGTAATCGAACTTCTTTATCTCTAATCAAATCCATATCTTATTTACCTTGTTGTGTTCATTCGATTTCGTCTTTGAAATTATAGTTTCTATCTTTTAGAATCTCAAAGATCCTACAAGTGGTATCAGAGCAGGAATTTCTCCGAGCTCTTTTCAAATCCTTAAATATGTTCTTGTTCGTCGAGTTTTGCATTTTTTACTTTGAATTTTTAGATCTATTATGCATTTTGCAAACAAATTGCAATTTGATCTGAAATTCTTTGTTCAGATTACTCGTTTCGGTTTGAAATCTATTTTTTCTCACTAATTAGATTCTTACTCAAATTTTTCATTGGAAATCATGTCAAAAGAGGATTCACACACTATTGCATTCAATTTACCAAGCAGTATTGGATTTACTAGTCGAATTCCTATTCTATTTCTAGAAGACTATGAGGCTTAGGCATTACATTTTGAAGATTACATTACTGAAATTGAAGAACATGGATCATACATGTGGAAATCGATCATAGAAGGGCCACATCAATTTTAAAAAATAAAAGAGTTTATTTGTCATCAAAGCAAGTTCATTGAAATCGTTGAAAAATATGAAGTTACATGGGAAGAAAAAGATAAACTTGTAAATGATCTCAAAGAAAAAATAGATTTACGTCTTGCTCTAACTCCAAACACATTTAGGCTAATCGGTTCACTTGATTCAACACATGATATTTGGAAACGATTGAAGGAACTTTATTTCGATGATGTTGATAAGACTCATTCAGTTCAAACTACTTTACTTTCAGAATTTGGATCATTCAAACAAAAGGCTGATGTAATGACCCGAAAATTTCAAAAAATTTTAAACTTTTCAAAACGATCCTTTTACTATTGAAATGTTTACAAAATAGTATTCTCAACATTAATTAGAAATCAGAGTTTCCTAAGATCCAATCTGTTGCAAAACCGAGGATGTGTACGGTTACGCCTTCACCTTGCGAAAATCATCAAAAGTACCTGAAACAATAAACAAAAACCATAAGTACAAAGCTCAGTGAGTTCCCCCCAAAATACCCCTACACAAAACAAGCATAAACACAAATACTCATGCCTGGCCCAATCAGCCTCAGGATGGAATACCCGTATGTCGGGTTCAATCAACCATCGGGTTGGAATACCCAGGGTTTGTTGGCCTACCGCCTCAACCCTACCGCTCCTCCCGAGCCTCCGTGCCTACGGCTTACAGCCGGCCCGCACCGGGTATCTTGGCCTACCGCACGAAGCTGGACCGCCTCAACCCAACCAAACACAATATGTCGACATATAAACAATCATGATCAAGTAGGCACATAAAACATGCAACAACATTCATACAGCTCACTATTGCCTACTAATCCTCTCACCACATACAGTCCTTCCACCAGCTACCCCCATAGAACGCGTAACTATAAGTAACCAGAGGTGAGATAGCCACCCGAACAGATAGTCCTACTCTAGAGTCACAACAAACAAGGAACATGCAAGAGAGCCTAGACCAAGAGTTCTCAGGCTATCCTACATGACCACCGACAGTCCCTAAGGGCAATCCATAGATGATAACCAGCAAGCTCATAACATACAATTCTACAGGTTGTTACCACAAAGCAACATACTCAATACCAGGAGACAGATCTAACTGATCACTACAGCATATCAGCATACTCAATACCAGGACACAGATCTAGCAGATCACTATAGCATAACAGCATACTCAATACCAGAAAACAGATCTAATAGATCACTATAGCGTAACAGCATACTAAATATCAACAATCCAAGGAATGCATAACTGTATATACTCAAAGGTGAGATAGTCACCCGGACAGGTGACCCTACTCTAAAATCACAACCAAACAAGGAACAGGTAAGAGAGCTCAGATCAAGAGTCCTCAGTCTATCCTACATAACAATATATAGTCCCTATGGCATCCCTCTACTAGCAGATAATCAATACTAGTGGGCTGACCTTGGTGCCTTAGACCCATGGGTACAGTGAGGCGAAACTCACCTGGATGTGCGTGCAGAAACCACTGTAGCAATGAAGGGCTCTACCAGCT